TCTTCACCACTAAGCCACCTGGGAAACCCATATGGCTTCTCTGCTGTTATTCAGTCTCCCAGTCGTGTCCAGCTCTTCCTGACCCCATGGACTGCAGCACACCATGTCTCCCTGTCCTTCACCATCTCCTGGAGTCTGCTCAAACTCATGTCCATTGAGTCGATGATGCTATCCAACCATCTCATCCTCTGTCATCCCCTTCTCCTCCTACCTTCAATCTTTCCCAGCATCAGGGTCTTTTCTAATGAGTCAGCTCTTCGAATCAGGTGGCCAAAGTATTGGAGTTTCAGCTTCAGCATCAGTCCTTCCAATGAATATTCAGGGCTGATTTCCTTTATGATTGACTGGTTTGATCCCCTTGCAGTGCAAGGGACTCTCAAGAGTCTTTTCCAGCACCACAGTTCAAAAGCATCAGTTCTTTGGCACTCAGCCTTCATTATGGTCCAACTCTCACATCCATACCTGACTACTGGAAAAACAATAACTTTGACTATATGGACCTTTATTGGCAAAGTAATGTCTCTGCTTTTTAATATGCTGTGTAAGTTTGTCATAGCTTTTCTTCCAAGGAACAAGCATCTTTTACTTTCATGACTGCAGTCACCATCTGCAGTGATTTTGGAGCCCAAGAAAATAAAGTCTGTCGCTGTTTCCACTGTTTCCCTATACATAGCTACTTAGAAGCCATGAATTCCAAACACAAAACACTGGACTGTATCGAACACTGAGAAATGCCTGTTCAATTACAAGCAAGCTATTCCTCCATTTAAAACAGAAAAATCATTCCTTCCCTTAATAAATAGACCAAAGCCAATGATCGTGTAAACAACCATCCTGTTAAGCACCATGAGGAATCCTTTCCAAACTTCGGATACTGTCAGGCTACATGGATTGCATGACAGGACTGGGTATTTTAGAAAGTATACATCTAAAATTACTCTTTCTAGGAGGACAGGTGTAATGTGCTTGCAATCATTATTTCTTTTGTTTATTTAAGTTAATTCTTATTGGAGTATAGTTGCTTTAAAATGTTCTGATAGTTTCTACTGTAAAGCAAAGTGATCCAGCTGTACATAACCCCCCTCCCTTCTGGTCTGCCTTCACATTTAGGTCACCACAGAGCACTGGCAGAGTTCCCTGTGCTGTACAGAATATTCTCATTACTTATCTATTTGATACATAATATCAATAGTGTATACAGTTCGATCCCAATCTCACAATTCCTCCCACCCCTGTGCCTTTTTCCCTTGGTATCCATACAATTGTCCTCTCCATCTATGTCTCTATTTCTCCTTTGCAAATAAGATCATCTATACCATTTTTCGGAGAAGGAAATGGCAACCCACTCCAGTACTCTTGCCTAGAGAATCCCATGGACAGAGGAGCCTGGTAGGCTGCTGTCCATGGGTTCGCACAGAGTCAGATATGACTGAAGCGCCTTAGCATGCATGCATGCATTGGAGAAGGACATGGCAACCCACTCCAGTATTCTTGCCTGGAGAATCCCAGGGACAGAGGAGCCTGGTGGGCTGCCGTCTTTATGTATATGTATGTATTGTAAAAAGGAAAACAGCTACTTAGGAGAATTATAACTTAGAAAATATAGAATCTTCAGTCTTTATGTCCTATCACTAGTTTAGGCCAAAATCACAACAGTCCCAACAGCTCTGTAATTGTTCCACCTCCAGTTTTGTATCTCCTTGGCCAAAATCTTCCTATAGTGCCCCGTGCCTTCTTCTGTCAGATGGTGTTTCCAGACCCATCCTAGTCAGAGACCTGAGTAGGTCTCCTAGTCAGAGACCTGAGTAGGTCTCCTACTCAGAGACCCTCAGATCAGGGTCTCTGTGATCTGAGTTGTTAACTGAGCCATTGTACTTTGGATAAGATCTGTTTTCTAGTCTTTAAAACTGAAATCATAATTTCCATTCATTGCTTTGTCTACTCAACAAACAGTTGCAGAATACTTTCTGTGTTCCTGCACTGTACTATGTGCTGCAGTGTGATGGTCTGCAAGAAAAGGATGGTTCTTATTTCCCCAAGGATGCAGCCAGATGTGGGAGTTAAATGTGTGCATTTAATCAAGCAACACCAAACTTCTGTGGCTACCACAGGGTAATGCAGGATGATTCTGGGGAGGCACCCAGGCTAAATGAAATTTGAGCTGAGATGTAGATCATAATTATTGATAATTTGTTAAAGAAATGCGGAAGCCTATGTGAAGACGCTGGAGAAGAGAATGGCAACCCACTCCAGTATTCTGTCCTGGAGAATCCCATGGACAGAGGAGCCTGAAGGCTACAGTCCATGGGGTTGCAAAGAGTTGGACACGACTGAAGTGACTTAGCATGCATGTGAAGAACCAGGGGGAGCCAGAGAATAGATAGAATAGGGTAAAACCTGCAAGAGAAGACTATCAAGAGATGCAGCTGGAGATTGAGGACCCAAGTCGTAAGGAGCCTTCAAAATATTCTAAGAGTTTGGATTATGTCCAGAAACAATGTGATTGGCAGTGAAGAGTAAGAGTCTCTGAGGACAGGTGACATATTTTCAGAGAAGGTCATTAGCACCTGATGTTGCTGTTCTGTCGCTCAGTCGTGTCTGACTCTTTGTGACCTCATGGACTGCAGTACGCCAGGCTTCCCTGTCCTGTGCCTGATTCCAGGAGATTAAAGAGAGCATATGAAAGAATTCTCAATTTTATGAGTCATTTCCATCTGTAATTGCCTTATACTAACAAGATGTCAGTGGTTATTTTCCATGTAAACCTCTTTGATAAGTTTTTAAATAACATTTCTTTGGGTTAGAACCAAATTGAGGGGAGGGATCATGGATCAGTGGTAATTAGACATTCTTCCAAAGGAATTCCTCTGTCCATTTGATGAGGGGTTCAGTGCTCTTAGCAAAATTTCAACCAAATAGACATAGAATGTAGACACTCATTTATTTACCTACGCCCCTGGACAGAATGATTCTGACATGATGTCTTAAACTTTGCAATCTACCCTTGTGGTTGTTAGGTTAATTTTGCTAAAATAAATAAATAAATAAATAAAACTTTGCTCTATAAAATCTCCAGCCTTTTGTTTTCCTAGAAGTAATTTTCTCACCATGAGACAGATATCCCTTATCACCTATTTTAAATATATTTACATTGTATTGAGTACAGTTGTCTCAGAATACCATCTAGTGAAGTAAAATTGCTCACTATGAAAAGACCTATTGGCTGTGCAAATATTTAATTTGCAGGTTGGAAATGGTTTGTTAATGATATGTTAAAGCTGGATATACCTGCGTATACTAAATTAACCAACACCCCTACAACACTTCATATCTTCTAGGTACTAAGGATTATTATAATCTTAACTCATGTTATCCCCATACCAATTCTGTAAAATGAATCCCCAGTTTACAGATAAGGAAATAAAAGCTAAGAAACATTTGACAACTTACACAAGTTGACCCACCTAGAAGCAGCAAAGTTGGAGATCGAACCCAGGTGTTTAGCCATTGGCCCTGGGCTCTTAGCCATCACCCTCTGCTATTTGAGAAACACAGCAGTGAGTTCCATCTCTAGATGCTTCCTGTCTTGGTATCAGTTCCACCTTCTTGGCTGTTTTATGGGTAAAGTAATGTTCACGATGGTGCATGCCATTTCAGTGTGCTTCTAAAATCCTAACTAACATAGACTTCCCCCTGGGCTTCCCACGTGGCATTCGTGGTAAAGAATCTGCCTGCCAATGCAGGAGACACAAGAGAAGTGGGTTCAATCCTTGGGTCAGGAAGATCCCCTGGAGTAGGAAGTGGCAACACACTCCAGTATTCTTGACAGGGAACTCCAATGGACAGAGGAGCCTGGCAGGCTACAGTCCACGCGACCACAGAGAGTAGGACATGACTTGTGGGACTAGACCCAAGCACAGCCTTCTCCTCAGTCCATTCCTCGTGGTAGCTGAAATCCCTATACATCTATTACACATAGGCCCACATGTCTGTCTCTAAATGAAGAGCTCTGGAAATTGCAAAGCAGAGATTAACCTTACGAGGAATTGTGAAAAGAAGAGGAAGAACTCCCACATTTGTTAAATATTTAGTCAAAGGTTGACGTGTGTGATCCATGTCCTTTCATATAACCTTGTGACTGCCACATTAAAAATCCATCCTACAATTAGCCACTAATCTGCTGAAAAAGATTTCTGAGTTCTAATACCTTTAGATGCTACCTCTCCTAGGAAAAATATGTTTCTTCTCTTTAAGAGAAGACTGGAATATTCTAAAATCACAGTAGTTTAACTCAAAACATTTGCTTTCTCTCGGCAGGTATGTTTTAAGCAGAGTACATGTGTGTATTTTGCATAGGGATTTTTTTTTCAGCATCTCACAAAACTCAACAAATAAGCAGTTACTTAATCTATATATTTTTAAAATACGTACTCTATAAAGTCATCTTGGCACCTTAATTCAACTGGCTTCCATAGTCCCCTTTTGGTGCAGAAGGCATATTGGTGTTAGGAATAATGGTCCATGTGTCTTCATCAGACTTTTAGAAAAAGTTCAATACTATATTATATTGTGCTCTTTATTGCCTTTAAGAAGAGCCTATTAATTCTCCCTTCATCTCCTGTTAGAGGAGGAATAGATACTCAATGCTTTAAACCTTTCACACCCAAGAGTGCATCCCTGAAGATTTGCCATAACACAAATCAAAAACAAAATGTCACATTCCCTTGGCTTAGTCAAACTGCCACACTCCAGAATCCAGTGTCCCCAGTGCAAGTCAGCTTCCATCTGCATCAGGTCACTGATATAATAAGACAAATCACCTGCACTGGGATTACTTCCTCAGATGGTTCATAATTACAAATCCTATGCTTTATTTTCCCACATATGTAAAGCATTCTTTGTGCTCTCCCATATGTTAAAATTCTTGGATTTCTTTAAATCACACCTTTGATAAGTTGCCGTGTTGTCTGAATTACTGCTGGCATTTCTCTCTTTTTCAGTTCCTCCCAAGTTTGTGGTTCAACCGCGGGACCAGGATGGGATTTATGGCAAGGCTGTCATCCTCAATTGCTCAGCTGAAGGTTACCCTGTACCCACCATCGTGTGGAAATTCTCTAAAGGTATGAAGTCACTTGGTTTGCTTCTTATCTATCAAACATATGGTATATTCTATAGCAGCGGTCCCCAGCATTTTTGGCAGGAAGAACCAGTTTCGTGGAAGACAGTTTTTCCACGGACCGGGGTAGTGGTGCTGATGGTTTCGGGAAGACTCTAACGTGTTACATTTACTGTGCACTTGATTTCTATTACTATTACATCAGTTCCACCTCAGGTCACCAGTCCTAGAGGTTGGGACCCCTATTTTAAAAGGACAAAAGTGAGAATTTCTTCCAAAGATGTTTCTCGCAAATATATTCATCCTCACCTCCACCAGGTGTGTCTGTCCTTCGTGTACACCCCTGGTAACCACCTGAGTGTTTTCATTTGGGCCATGGAGTGTTGTTGTATCACAGGGCCTTGGAAAGACCATGTTGGGAAAGCAGGTTATTCATGGACAGTTTCAGCACCTGTGGAAGCTCTCTGTTGACCATCTATATTGGACAGCAGTGATCTGCTTGGAGACCCCATACACATGGACAAACAAATATAAACTGTCAGAATTACTCATTGTTGGAAATTGCTGCTGCTGCTAAGTCACTTCAGTCGTGTCCGACTCTGTGCGACCCCATAGACGGCAGCCCACCAGGCTCCCCCATCTCTGGGATTCTCCAGGCAAGAACACTGGAGTGGGTTGCCATTTCCTTCTCCAATGCATGAAAGTGAAAAGTGAAAGTGAAGACACTCAGTCGTGTCTGACTGTTAGCAATCCCATGGACTGAAGCCTACCAGGCTCCTCCGTCCATGGGATTTTCCAGGCAAGAGTACTGGAGTGGGTTGCCATTGCTTTCTCTGAAATTATTTCCCCAGTATTTAGATAAGTAAAGTTAAGTGGCTTTAGAAGGTTAAAATAGAACTACAGTTTGTTTTATTTATGTAGATAACATAGATATAAAACATGACCTGGGTACTACCTTCTTAAAAGCAAACTTTCACCGTTAATCATGCTTTCTCTTCAAAGGCACTGCATAATTTCCCAGTATTAAGGTAACATTGTAAACATTACATAAATAAAAATGGGCAATATGGAAACTAATGGAGGAACCATTCTAGACATGGTAAAAATCATTTTTGTCTATTTTATCATCTTCTCCAGGAAAGTTTCCTTAACTGTTTGTTGCTGCTGCTAAGTCACTTCAGTTGTTTCTGACTCTTTTCGACCCTATGGACTATAGCCCGCCAGGCTCCTCTGTCCATGGGATTCTCCAGGCAGGAATACTGAAGTGGGTTGCCATTTCCTTCTCCAGAGAATCTTCCTTGCCCAGGGATTGAACCTGATCTCCAGCATTGCAGCATTGCAGGCAGAGTCTTTACCATCTGTGCCACCAGGGAAGCCGTTTTCCAGGAAGGTTTCCTTAACTGTGCTTATGAATGTTTTGGAAATTCTTTTTCCTTTCTCATTCACATGTCTTAATTCAGTAACTTATTTATTAAGCAGTTGAGGGCCAATATGTATCAATAGGATAAATAAGAAAACAAGTAAATAAGTAAATAATGGAGTTTTTTCTAACAATCTAACACTTAACATAGGTAGCATGTTGCTCTTTCTTATGGAAGTAAAAACAATTGAAGAAAACAAATGGCATTCTTGCCACACAGTTGGCTTGAATGTATTTCCTTTAGGGAGAAGGAGAAGAGGGAGGAAAGAGAGGGATAGATGCAGTTTGGTTAGGGGCAGAATCAATTAAATTTATTTAAATCCCTTAGGTTACTGCTCTGTAGCATGCCACATACATTGTCCATATGAAAAACTGTTTACCCAGAATAAAATCCTGTTATTCAGAATATCTGCCCACATCCCTTTTTATTTGGGGCCATGCTTATAGCTGAATGTTGCATTACAAGGAAACAAACAGCATACATTTGATTTAATGTAGTTTATATAGGTGTGCTGGGAGCTTCCCAGTGGCACAGTGGTAAAGAATCCGCCTGTCAATGCAGGAGATGCAGGAGACTCGAGTTCTTTCCCTTAATCAGGAAGATCCCCTGGAGAAGGAAATGGCAACACGTCCCAGTATTCTTGCCTTGCCTGAAAAACTCCATGGACAGAGGAACCTGGTACGCTACAGTCCATGGGGTAACAGAGCGTCGGACACAACTGAGCACCTGAGCTCACAGCACAAGATGCCATGACCATGCTGAAGGCTCTTGGTCTGAACTGGACCAGGACACATCGGAAGGTATCAGGGCAGTGTGCACACCGACCAGTAGGGTGAGGCTGTGTGTGTCTTGCACCCTTGCCAGCTCGATAATATCCTTTTCTCCCTAAACTTCACTATGTGATGGGTGAATGGTTTAATTTACAAATGTACATTACTAATTATGTTTGCAATATTTTATCCTTTGTTCACAGACCATTTCTGTGTCCCCTTTGGGGAATTTCTTATTCATGTTACTTGCACACTTATCTCCATATCTCATTTATTTATAAGAAGGTTTTTCATAGATTATATAACCCTGTGTCTGTTATGAGTGTTATAGACATGCCTTCCCATCACTGGTGTGCAAGTTAAATTATAAAAGCCTTTTTCTCTTTGAACTTCATATACAATTTAAAATCATTAAAGAAAAATTAACAATTGCAGCAAACAATTTTTTAAGTTAAAATTCCCCTTTAATACATCATTCAAAGATAATCAAAGATAAATATTGTAAACACTTTTACCTAGCTTTTCAGGTCTGTCCCCTGGCAAATATACATATATAGATCTGTAGATAAACATATAATTTGGGGTCTTTAAAAAATTGCAGGCATATTCTTCTTCCTGACCCATAATCTTTCTTCAGTTCACAATAGGGAATGAATGCCTTCCAAGGGCAGCAAATACGGGTTCAGTGTGACTTTATAATGTCTCTGTTGAGTTTACAGTCATATATCAATAAGTACATCCAAGTTCCCTTGCCTTTGTTAGGACTGAATTCAGTGACTTAATGCCACATGGGTTTACTCCTTTCTCCAGCAGATCTTCCCAACCAAGGGATCGAACTGGGGTCTCCTGCATTGCAGGCAGATTCTGAGCCACCAGGAAAGCCGGATCATAAGAGGAGCTGGGTATAGCTAGGTCAGGAGTAGTTTTTCTCCCGTCAGTCATGAGGGACCCATGCTGTTAACATTTGTCATTTCTGCCATTCTTCCAAAGCATTGGCCACCATTAATCAGTGGCCATTGAGGTCTGGTGGCCACTTGCACATTTCCATGGAGAAGCAAGAGCAGAGAGAGAGGGCTGCCACAGCCACCTGAGTCAGCTCCCTCTAAGCACCTCTCCAGAATGTGTCATAAATGGCTTCTGCTTACATCTCACCGTTCTGTTTGCCCCTCACCATTGGGTGTCTGCAGGCTGTGTTACAGCTAAATACAGCCATCGTGACTGCAACCCTAGCTATTTCACTAAGTAAGAAGAGAAGGTAGAGGCTTGGCAACCAGGTGTGCCCAACACTACTGTTGGATATTGTGTTTGTTTTTTCCAGATGTTCACTATTATTAAAATGTCACAGTGACTTCCATCTCATTGATCTCTGTGTATGTGTTTAATTTTTTTCTCTGTGGATAAACTTCTCTAAGTAGAATTACTGATTCAAAGAGTAAGCAATTTCTATAGATTTCCATACGTACTGGCCACTTGTCATCATTTTGTTCATTTATACCCCTTCCTGCAGTTTATAGTACTGTCTGTTTCTTATGATGAAAATATTACTGCATATTATTATGCTTGGTTTTTTAATATTTTCAATATAATGGGGAAGTTGTATATTATTATTTTATGTATGCAAATGATAAAGATGTGTCTTAAGAAAAATTTAGTCTTGCTTATGGAATGTGTTTCCCATAATCAAATAGTCACTAAAATCGTAAGTGCAATTCCCCTATATGTGACCAACAACAACAAAAAAAATGCAAAAAATAAAGAATAATACAGATTCAAGCTGTTTCTCTGAGAGTTTCAACAATTTAACCCTGAGGCTGCAGAATTCCAGAGTAAACTGCAGTGGTTTAAGGGCAGCTATTACAGAAATGAAACAGTCTTTGCTGCAAAATAATGTTATATTTTTTGACCTTGGGTCTGGATACATCTAAGATATTCAATTCTGTTTCCCAATTTTTTTTTTCACATGAAAAAACAAAACCTCTTGTCTAAAGGAGATTTGGGGGGGGGTGGGTGGAATCAAGGTTTAATACTATGGTGGGCCTTAACTGTGTGTACAGAAATCTGTAGCTAAGCAAATGTATGTCATTTATTGTGGAGGAAATGGGTTTCAATTGCTGTCCTGGGGACTGGGACATCCCCTTTTTAGCTGCTGAGGGGTAAAGAGGGGCTGCAGATGCAAGAGATAACTGATGCTCCGGCCCGTGGGTTGCCTGACATCTTTTCCTCTGTAGTGTTAGTCACTGAGTCATGTCCGACTCTTGGCGACTTCAAGGACCACAGCCGGCCAGGTTCCTCTGTCCATGGGATTCTCCAGGCAAGAATACTGGAGTGGGTAGCCATGCTCTTCTCCAGGGGGTCTTTCTGACCCAGGGATTAAATCCATGTCTCCTGTGTTGCAGGCAGATTCTTTATTGTCCAAGCTCTCTGGCTGCCCACAAATAGGGTTGTGCTGACCTTCAGAGAAGCGTGGATTGTAGGAGGGTCCAAGGACAAGAGTCAGAACACATCTGCTGTAGGGGGTGAGAGAGCTATAGGGAGTAACTTACATTTAAAATAGGGTGATCAGAGAAGACCCCATAGGAAGGTAATNGTCAGAACACATCTGCTGTAGGGGGTGAGAGAGCTATAGGGAGTAATTTACATTTAAAATAGGGTGATCAGAGAAGACCCCATAGGAAGGTAATGTTTGAGCAGAAACTTAGAAGAAATCGCAGACAAGCCACATGCACATCTTCAGGGAGCTCTGAAGGTCAAGGGACCAAAACCAACAACAAAAGTGGGTTTGTACCTGGAATATCCCAGAAGAACCAAGGAAG